TTTGAATTTTAAAAATAAAATGTTGTAAAAAATAAAAATATATGTACTATATTTAACATTTTTCAAAAATTTAAGAGACAACTTGTTAACAGCTGGAATGAATTTCGTTAGTCAATTAAGGAAATGTTTGTTAAGTAAATTATTTTGAAATAAAATTAATAATTTATAAATTATTTTTTTTAAAAAATTATTTCTAAATTAAATTGAAACAAATCACATAATTAATAAGTTATTTATTAAATTTAGCTGCAAAATACCAGCGCAAAAGTTTTACCATAGGACGTACATTGTCCCTAATGTCAGTTAAAGTGGAAAATTTTTTCATTTCCCTGGACATAAAGTGTTCGCTTTGAATATTTTGCAGCGTTGACCGTATTTAAAATTATGAGAAGTGGGACAAAAAGGGAAAGGCCTGGCCTTGAATGAGCTTTTTCTTTTGCTTTTAGAATTGCTTTAATTTTTTTTTCCCATGTATATTTGTTTCCTAGCCTATAAACTTTGAATTGATTTTTTGTTCTCTGCAATTTGAAAAATAGGTTGACTGATATATCTTTCAGCCTTTTAGAAGTGCATGATATTGAATGCTGTTTTCTTTGAGTTACCAATTAAAAATTATTCTCAGCATGCATTTCCATCGATCTTTGTTATAAGGATTTCCACTAACTTCTTTTCTAGATTGGTCTTGGTTACAATTTTATCTTAAAGCCCAGTGAAATATGACCAATGCTAAGTGCCACGATCTTTTAATAAATTGCTTGCCAAGTGGTTTGTACGGGCCCTCACATTATGAGATGGAAACTTTTATCTAAATTTGTAGTTTTCTTCATCCTTGACAAGGCTTATGGTTATTGTTATTAATTGCATTGTTCATCTTATAGGGAATTAATGTATTGAAAACTCACACAAATGGTTGAGATAATCATGCAATCAAGATGGCAATTTTCGATGCCATGGTGACTAACTCGGACACTACAAAGTTATTTGTTTTGCTTTGCTCATCCAAGGTTTTTTCGTTTGATTTTTAAAGAAGACAATCTCTCATTGTAACCAGAAAAAATCATTCTTCTCCCTTTACTTTTCTGGTTTTAATTGAAGAAGTGGAATTGCAAGCGATCTTCATTGTTGGGAAGTTGGTTCGGTTTTGATGAGATAATAGACATGACCAACGGAATAAACTCCAATATGTTGGGTTTAGGAGGGGCAGTGGAAGCGAAAAAAATTAAAAATTTAATTTTGTTCTTTTTCAACTCACCTATGACTTTTAAAAATTCATTAACAGTTAAGAAAATGTTTATAGAAAAAAGGTTAATAGTTACTATTTGGATGCATGCCTCATTAATGTATAGATTTGATTACTATTCTCTAATGAAGTTACTCAAGAATTCAAGTATAGAATTCCTCTAGTAGTGATTCACACTAATGCTTCAGGATTCAAAAAAGACCGAGTCTCTAAAGATACTATCAATTAGAAAATCAATATGTTTTTCTTTAGGGTTTTGATAGAATAATTTTAGTAGTCTAAAAATTTAACAAGGCTTTTATTTTCTATTTTTATTTATATTAATAAAAAAGAAAAGACATGCCATGGTAATTCAATTAGAATTACCATAATTAATCTCTAAGTCAAAATAAAAATTCTAAAAGAAAAGATTTTCTTGTCAATCTCATCTTAATCAAAAGGACAGAGATATCTTCTCTCAGAACTTAGGAGGGAAGAATCCTCTCTTAACTTGTCCATTACCCTCATGCGATTTGTGATACACCCAATCACTACTAGAAAAAGGACGTATGCGGACCGATCATATACGGACCGAATAGTGTCGGTTTGAAAAACTAAATATCCGAACCAATATCGGTCTGAATATAATAATGAACATATTAGGACCGGTATCGGTCCGTATATTTTTGGCGGGCGTCACAGTATAGACGCGCCAATAATATGCAGACCGTTTTCGGTTCGAATATTATTTTTGAAAAAAATAAATATTAAATACCAAAAAATATTTCTGGCGGGAGTCAACAGTATAGACGCGCCAATAATATTTGGACCGGTTTCGGTCCGAATATTATTTCTGAAAAAAATAAATATTAAATACCAAAAAATATTTCTGGCGGGAGTCCACAGGATAAACACGCCAATAATATTCGGACCGGTTTCGATCCGAATATTATTTCTG